AATAAAGTTGATTCACCGATTAAATTTAATGACATGCAATTTGATTACCTCAGAGATTTTCGAGAATATATTTCATTTATCGCATATATAATATACATCGCGGGAGAGAAAAGAAAAACGCGAACCGTTATCCAGTTAATTGAAATGTATCAATTTTGCGTAATGCGATAAAGAGATTCGCGAGAATTTCGAAATAATATACGCGCTCCGTCATACGTTCCAAAGCAATGTGTTCGCGCTTTAAATGCGATTTTAACACAGTTTCCCTTTAATATCTCGAATCTGGTTTACATGTAAAACTTCATTCCGCGTCCGACCATTTAATCCACGCGCGCTATGCAATTTAAAAAAATATTCATTCCGAGATTATGCGAAAAATGCTAAATCGCTTTGGCGCAAAACGAAAAGTGAACACTTTCCTCTCGCGAAGGAGAGATAACAATAATAATGACAATAAACAGAACTAGAACAATCGTGTAATCGCGATAGCAATAAAATTAATATGTCCATTGATTGCGATATCGACGATAACGTCGTGACGAACTGCTGGAAATTGTCGTGTCTGTATGTGTAGAGAAGACAAAATAACAAAAAAAAAAAAACATCGCACTATACAGGTGCAATGCCGCTCACAAGATCACGCAACAAGGTCAAATTATTCAAATGTTACTCAAAAAGTTTTTCCAGCTTGCTCCGTACGTTAGGCACAACAATCACAACCGACGAAATAATCGAAAAACCGTCGGCGAACAAGTGGCCAAACCGGAGGGTAACGTGCGCGATACACTACGGCATACGTTTCAACACGACATACTCGTACCCACCTTCGGGCGACGCAGGTTATCAAGCTTCCCGACTTAACCTGTACGACTCGGGTGTCAGAATCATCTCCCTAGCGAATGTCCCTTAGGAAATGGTCGAACAGACGCTGCTCCGAAAGCTGTTCGAACCACTTGTTTCATTCGACGGTGCTTTCTCGGAGCAGGCTGTTCCCAAGGAGTTTGTTCCTGTTAAGCGGTATAGAGACAGAGAAAGGGAGGGAGGGAGGGAGGGGGGGAGAGAGAGAGAGAGAGAGAAAGAGAGAGAAGATGAGACAATATTCGCGTGTATATAACGAAAAAAACGCATGATAATCACGCAAGCGAAAAGCCGAGGAAAGCCGTTTGAAATCATGCGAGCAAGCAAGTGCGACGAAGGGAACTCTCATGCGATTCGCCTCGCCGAATTGGAGGTTAACCTGTCACTCGACGGCAGATCGATGTTACGGCGCGGTCGGACAGTCGCGCGATCGACGCCGCAGAAACGATATTACATAATTTCTGCCACTTACCTCTCAAGCTGTGGTCGTGCGCGTAACTGCTGCGACGGGTGTCTCGTCTCCGGTGAAGAGATAGCGCGAAGGAGAGACGGTGATTATACAGCAAGAGAGAGACAGAGAGAACGAGAACGAGGGGACGTGCGGAGAAGCGGCGCGGAGGTCACACACCGTGGCAGCCGCTGCGGCCCGACGGCTGCACCACTTCGTTTCGGCCGGTGTACCGAAGTGTAAAAGAGAAAGAGAGAGGAGAGAGAGAGAGGGAGAGAGAGAAAGAGAGAGAGAGAAGGAGAAAAACGTCAAACTTTATCACGAGTGCATGATGCGCGGGGCTGTGGGTTGCGTACGACGGGAGAGACAAGCGGGTACACTCGCGCGGCACCACCGACGACACTCGACGATGACGTCATACCACCGGCGGCAACATGGAACCCGTCCGATGCGGCGGCGACGACGACGCGACACGGACACGACACGGACACGACACGACGTATGACGGTTCTCCTTCAATCTTTCCACCAGCCTGTACCGCCTAACCTCAAAACAACGATTACCCGCAACCGAGAGCAGAGCCAGCCGCGGCGAACGCGCCCCGAGCGCAGCGGCGGCAACGCGCTAACATACGAAACCGAACTGACACGACGTCCCGGCCGATTTGAGCCGAGCAGTCCGCCTCTCTCGCGACGCGTTCCCATTGGTCGCGTCTCGCCGCGCTCCTATTGGCTTCGCCCGTCCACCACCGGCTCGCGCTCGTCGCGACAAGTGCAAACGCGGTCTGTTCTTTCAGGCTGCACTTTTTGTACTTTCTCACGATTTTTCTTACCACCTTAGTGCCGAATCTCAAGTATTGCATTTCAAGGATAGAAAGTGTAGCACAGAGTGCAGCTGGGAAAATAGATTCGAGGTGCTATGAAGAACTATTCTCCGAATGAAGTTTTATGACACTAGTAATGAGATTTAAGAATGATTAAGGAATATTAACGTTACCAATTCTTTTCTCCCAATAGACCGCTTCAACTTCAGGCTGCCATATGATGAACAAGCGACACTGTACACAACAGTCCTGATGATACTTCGCTGTTCTTTAGTGGGTCAAAATCGTGAATCCGGAGTTGACTTTGCGGACGATGACGATGACAAAAGTGCTTTGCGGACGATGACGATGACGAAAGTGCTTTGCGGCACTCGCGACAACGAACTGCTTCGCGAAACTTACGACAATATTTTGTCACGACAAACGCGCGAGACTTATTTTCGGCACTTCCGGCGACGATCATTCACGCGCGAGGTTCACTCTCGACAAAGCGAAATCGCGCGACGTAATGTTTAACGGCTCACCGAATCGTGTCGCCATCTCGCGAGATTGAGATACGAAGAGGCTGAGCACAATAAAAGGAATAAGGAACAGGGAACAGAAAATAAGGAATAAGGAATACTGAAAACAAGAAATAACGCTATTCCTCTGTTCCTCTGTTCTGTGTTGATGAATTAGGTTTCATCCCAGTAAACACAAAGTAACAGTAACATAACATCAATGTTACAATTTCCTACTCAACAATGTAACTGTTATATAACGCGCGTGTTATATAACAGTTACATTGTTGAGTAGGAAATTATAACATTGATGTTATGTTACTGTTACTTTATGTTTACTGGGATGTTTTAATATTAAACTGTTCCTTATTCTCTGTTTCCTGTTCTCTATTCTCGATTCCCTATTCCTTATTCCTTTTATTGTGCTCAGCCCCTAAAAATGCAAACGCGCTAATTTCACTTACCACTTGCGACGCATCGTTACGCGAAATATCCATTTTCGACGGTTATTTTCGATACTCTGCCACGATAAACGAATGAAACTTATTTTCCGCACTCCCGATGATGACTCGTGTAACGATCCTCTTTCGACAAACTGCGATGTAACGGACATGCGGAATCTCGCTCGATATTCGCGATTACTCGTCCGCGAAAGTCGTCTCAGACGAATATCTCACTGTTCCTTGCAACACGCGCGTGACACTCACCTTCGGCACTCCCGTTGACGACAATCCGCGTGCGGGACTCACCTCCGACGAGCTAAAACCGCGAGAAATATAAGACGACTTCCTGAATACGAATTACCGACACTACAGTCCGTTCTAAACGAGCGGAAGTGCGATTGAGATACGCGTAAATTAATTAATGCGCGCGACGCATGTGTAGTAGATTCTTGAATCTCAGTCGTGTCGCCACCTTGTCGCCACCTTGTCGCGAGATTGAGATACTAAAAATTCAGACGCGCCAATTTTACCCGCCAATTTACTTGCGACGCACCGTTACACGAAATGTCTACTTTCGGCGGTTATCTTCGATACTCTGCCACAATAAATGTATGAAACTTACTTCCCGTTCTCCGATGATGACTCGTGCAACGATTCTCCTTCGACAAGCCGTCGTGCTACGGATGTGCGGAATCTCGTTCGACACTCCCGAATACTCGTTCGTGAGAGTTGTCTTAAACGAATGACACTCATTTTCGGCACTCCCTTTGATGACAATCTGCGCGCGGGACTCACCTCCAACGGGTCTAAACCGCTACAGAGCAGCTTCCCAAGTACAAATTACTATGGTCCATTCCAGAAATGAACGGATGGAAGTGCGATTGAGATTAATACGCCCGACGCATGCGCGCTGCACACACAAACCTCAGATTACAATTCACGCAATTTAGTTGCTTTAAAAAAATACTTGTTTTAAAAAAATACAAGTTAGCTCAGAATGCTCGCGCTAATTCTGATGTTCAATAAACAGCCTCGTTAGAAAACCTTAGTCGCATATTTTTATTCTGATGTTGGGACTATTTGGACGATCTTGGCGCTGAAACGTGACGTCACACGATCCAGCCAATCACAGCAATCTTCTTGTACCATACAGTCGTTCGAACACGGTTCGCGGTCGCTCTGTGTTCGTCGCGTCTTTTTCGCGTCGGGAAAGAATTTCGAGGACGGATGTGATTGAATTCAGTGACGGACGGTCGTTCTAGTGTGCTATTCGAATCGTCTGAGAGCGATTAAACAAGACATCCTTCGATACTCGGCGTCTATCACGTATCATCGTCAACATGGAGATGTGGAGTAAGATGGAGCCGAATCAGTCGCTTCAACGAGACGAAAATGCGGCGCAAATACTACACTTTCGTGTCTCGGTAAGTGCTTTATTGCTAAATTTGACTATGAAACGTTCCGTGACCGGTAATGAAGTTAACGAGGAGCAGCGTTACCGACCGTTCCAATACGAGTGTGTGATAATTAATTGTAAAATTAGTACTGCATTATAAACCATTCGACCGAGTATATTGACTGTCTCGCTATTGAGGTTGTCGACTTTCTAGTAATATCTTGTCAGTATGCTCCTTTGATTACTCACGCACTAAACACTGTTATTTCGGCGAAACGAACGGCGTTTTTTACGAACTTGTTTCTATTCAAGTAGCTAGCCTGCGTTCCTATATTCACTACCAGTAGCGAGAATCTACAATCTACAATTTATGTCACGTAGACTATAGACTTTCAGTACTGGTGGTGAATATCGGAACGCAGCCTGGTCGACGTAATCCTAACCTCATTCTGGCGCCTATTAGCGGTTACAAGTGAATTCCCTCGGAGTTATCGCGCGATTTTTGGTATGATTGCTTATATTTTCGTCGGAGGACAGCTTGTATTGTTAAATATGCGAAACAGCAAGTGAGATTATATGAACGTATCGCTTGTCGTGGAGCACGTCACGTCGCACTTAAAATTGAGGACAAAGTTTACACAGTGTGTTCCAAGGTTATCGCGTGGTTTTTCTCAGCTGTTTCAATTTTAAATTGCACAGTTCACATTTATTTATCGAGCATAGACACATGTTAGAAATTTGTAATCTTTATTGTGTCAAATGTTATTTTGATCATGCACTGGACTCTGACTCTGTTAGGAGAAAAAAATCAGTTTTGCTGATTAATTTTTTGCTGATACTTTAATATTTCTGTCAAAATTAGATTGATTCTATATCAATCAAAGGATTGATGTCTGGAACGTATACATTAGTGAAAAAAGATCAACCGTTGTAACTTGTTTGTTGAAAGAATAACCACTCGTTTTTGCTTGAAATATATGATGTAAAGGTTATCTCTTGTGCCAGATTTTGTGCTGCATTAATTTTTTTATACACAACTGCAAAGTGATTATTACTTTCAGAGTTACCTGAGTGAGCTGATATGGCTCCCTACGTCTCCCGGATAAACCAGATTGATGCAGCTGAGTTGGACGTTGAGATTTATAAGCTACTGAAGAATGAAACCAAGGATATTGCCAGATACAGTGCACCAGGAAAGTTTGACAAATGGCAAGCAGAAATTGACATAGCACTGAAGTTCTTTATTTGGAAGTTCTCTTTACAACGAGGGAACTCCACATTTGGTCAACGTTTACTCAATTTGCACTATGCCAATCTCAACCAGAAGAAGGCTGTACTGTACTTGCTTCTGACTGTCCTACCTCAGTATATAAAGGACAAGTTGGCCAATGAAAATCTCTCAGCTCATGGTGACACAGCCTATAGGCTGAAGTCACTCGTCGATAGGATTTCTAATGTGATCAGTCTCCTGCAGCTCATTAACCTGCTCTTCTTCCTCCATCGAGGCATACAATCACGCGTAATAGAGCTTCTTTTAGGTCTGTCCACTCAGTCAATAACGACGAACAAGCCTCGAAATATCGGTTACTCGTACATGACGAGGGAACTCCTCTGGCATGGTCTGATGGAACTGTTCACTGTCGGTATACCCATGATAAACTTCCACTACCTGAAGCACACGCTGCAGAAGTTGTGGCGGCGTAAGAAGAAGCAGCAGGACATAAAGTTGTTGCCGACAATGAATCTGTCGACTAAGTGCGCCTATTGCGAGGAAAATCCGATTCTACCTTCGCACGCTGGGTGCCAGCACATCTTCTGTTATTACTGCCTGAAGGCGCACTTCACCGCGATGAACATGTTCCATTGTCCCAAGTGCGACGTGAAACTCTATACTGAGAACATGGAGAGATACACGGTTGCAACGTGCACGAGCAACGACACGGTGTTAAGTCTCAAAGGTCCGACGTAGTGCAGTTCTACTGACAAAATCGTATGTAACATTTCCAATTTTCAATATTACCAAAAACAAATATGCGTTTGATGGTGATGATAACGTGATCTAAAATGGTGAACGGACTGTTATATTTATAAACTGTGATCTCGCCAAAAAGTCTGCAAAAGGTGAAAGATTTATTATTATATAAGGATTTAGACTATGTCTTCGGAAAGAAGAGATTTTCTGTTCCGACTGTTATAATAGTTTATGTCGCAACGCATAAAGCGAAGATATCGGCAGAGGTTGTGACGTTGTATGTCGATATGTCGCGTGTACGTTTAAATTTTTTTTTTTATTAAAAATAGCAATACAAAATCTCTTCTTTATTCAATTCAATACATCTTCCCGACTTTGGGCGCTCGACATTCTAGCGTTTTCTTCCTCGCAACAAACAAACAAACAATAATAATAATAGATCGATACGATATACCTCGTGGTTTATCAAAAAATTATTTAGATTATCATATAAAAATATTATGCTGCGCTATATATTATAAAACGCTCACCTGCCGTCGCAACGTCGACGGATCGTATTTACGCGAGTAATAATTCACATTCATCAACATTAATTTATCGTTTAGTTAGCTGGCTGCACCTGCTTGATGGGCGGGTACGTCCCCGGATTTATTACGAAACATTATTATAAGCATTATAGCACAGAAAAAACGCGTAACACACACATAATTTAACACTTCCATCCGCCTCCTACGACATTACAAATTTCACTCGAGTACAAACTTTCATCGATTTTTCCCGTTTTTTTTTTTTTTGTTTGGAATGTGATTTATAATACAATTGTATAGCGCGGCCGAGCAGAGTGATTTTTCCAACCCTATTCGAAACCTTCCCCGGACTCCTTTATTCAATTCGCAAAAATTCTTTTTATTCTGCAAAGATCACGTTTCTACTTCCATCCGAGGTATCCGTCTAATAATTCTTATACGACTCTGCTCTATTTTAATACTAATCTTACATCGCAACGTGCAATATGGAGGAGTTCACCCCAAAAATAAGACGCACGAAAAATACGGCACAAAAATCACATGATTATATTTTTTTCTTTTATTTTCCGTATCCTCTTCTCTTAGTTTATTTTTTTTTTGTATAAATTTTTATGTTTACAAATTTTTTTTTAGATCTTTTCTCTTTTACATTAGGTGTATCCAGATATATATTATGCTGGCTTCAAAGAGCAAAATGCAAAAGTATTATCTATCGCTATTATTCGCGCGTTTTTTTCAGGGCAAACTCTTTTAGTCATCGGTATTCTTTGTCAGCACTTTAGTATCGGTACTGAATTACCCTAAGTGTCCTTTCTTTTATCGAGGAGTTCGCGATTTCGTTTTCGCTCTCGCTTAGACGGAAAGTACAACGAAATTCTCGATGATTCTCTCTGTAGGATGAGAGAAAGTAAGAGAGAGAAAGAGAGAAAAAGACAGAGAACGTAATGTTGCGTAATTATCGTATGCGAGGTATTAGTTTTGCATTCAAGAGGTTATCGATATGAGGGGAGTGATGGATGCACGGCACGTATAACAGTTGTTCATTTTAACGTGAAATCCAACGTTCATTCGGCATGCTTCGAGAAAGATCTCTGTAAGTTCGTCGTAGCGGTATTTGAAGGCAACACCGCGTCTAAAGGGGTCGGCGTGACATTATTAGTTTTCGATTCGCTCGCGCGTTTTACAATTCTTCGATTTTACAATTTTCTGAACTCGTCACGCGTTTAAGCGTATACAAATAAAATGAAGTATCGCATTGTTGCGTGTACAACCACAGGTCTACACCTCGCTTCTTTAAGAATTCAAGAATATTAATCTTAAAGTTGTAAGAAATTGTCTTAAACGATGTACAACAGTTAAAGTGAAATGTAGATTAGGCAACTAAGACCAATTCAAAGTTGAGATGCAATCTCCGCAATTTCGAGGTTAATTTTCTCTAATTCTTGTAATCGTAATCTGACTACCACTGGATCTTTCGACTTGAATGAAGAATGCTTCTTCTAAATATAAATTTTATATTCTAAATATTAATATAAATTTTATATTTATCGAGGAACTATGTAAGACGCAATAGCGAATCTGTCATTAAAATGAGGAGGGTGACATCGTAATTTGCGTAACGATACGATTGTGTGTGTGCGCACTTGAAACACTATTAACAGTCCGCTATAATTTACAGCGCGTTCTTACAAATGTGGGATCCGTAACTTCGAGTGAGGTCGTCGATCGCAAACCGTACATACACATCGGCATTCTTACGGTCCGCTTTCGCGACAATGAGAAGGATAGAAGTCTGAATAGCCTGTCATATTATTTGCACGACGCAAAAAGTGTCAAGTGAGCAGGGAATTAGAAGAGAGAATTCGTGAAAAAAATACGCGGTGAATCAATGTTGAAACCGTTTTGGACATGTCTTCTCTCTTCTCAATCATCCTCTCTTCTTCTTCCTACCGTTCGACGATCGATCATCGACGCACCGACTCGCGCGTTCATCGTTTTTCGTTAATCAAGCGCGCTAGTTAGAAGCTTGCTCGTCGTTGTCTCTTTTCTCCTACGCGTGCGCGCGTTCCCCTCTTTAACGCTAAATTTCCGCGACTATACCTATATACCCGTATTCGCTAAATCTCGCACGGGATCAGTACATATTTAACGTAGGAACATTGACGGTCTTCTCTCAAGACTAAGATACATTCTATGCAAAGAAATCGTCGATCCCTGACCGGCGAAGAGGACGATCTCGCGATACGACATTACTTTCCTTATACATACGACATGCTATACCGTATGTATAGAATGAGCTCGCATATTTTGCAAATGTCTCGAGAGGCAGAGAGCCGCGATTCGGCCGACGTTCTAACATTTCCGCGAGCTAGTATCTAAGCTCTTCCTCTTATTCATTCTGCTTCTGATACATTTTGAAATATGAGACTGCATAGAAGTTGGTTATCGACGAGATGCGATTCTTCACCGGACAGAACTTCTTTTGCAACAATGCGAGCGGTATCACAACTTTTTATCGCGATATATAACGTTCCATCGCTGCCGCGAAATTATTATTATTTCTCGCTCTTTACGAAGACACAGGATCTGCAGCGTGCAGGTGTAATTGCACAGGCGTGTCACTGTGTAATGTGCAGTCTTCACGTGAGGACACAATGCACCTTTTCCATCCCACACACACACGTGCACACTTCACATATACGCACACTCACGTGTTCTCGCAAGGATTATCACTCGGTCCTCGTGACGATCGCACTCGAGGAATCGTAGGAGCCTTCTGTTCCAAACCAACGTTGAACGAAAACGAAAAACAGACAACAGAATCGAACAGTCCAATATTATATCACACGTAGTTTTTCCTTTTTCTCTTGTTTGCGAACACGTATCTTCGTGATGTTCCGATCACTCGCGAGCGCACAAACGACAATAATTTACGCTTAAAAAGACTTCGCAAGAACTTAGTCAAGAACTCTTCGCAGTAAAATCTTTCGTTAGGCATGTTCGATACGCGCGATCCTTCCGTCTTTATCTCGCGAGCCCGTTCTCTCAGTTTTCACGTGACGGTATTCATCTGACGACCAACGTCGTTTACGGGACTTACGATCACGGATCGTATGATCGCACGACGATCTCAAGAGCGAACCGATTTTTCTCCTGTTCTGCAAGTAAGTCGAACCTTCCTCGTGCGCGAGTTTGAGTATCGGCTCGATACGACATAATGTGCTTTGACACATAGACATTGAAATCATTTCCGCACTATCAGTTTTTCGACGCGTGCATCAAGAGTTCGTCTACCTAACGCTTTCATTCCTTTGTACCAAAAAAAAATATATATATATATTAACAAAAATTACGCTTAAAAATTCTAATAAATTATGGCGAGAACGAAATATCTTATGTCTATAAAAATCGTTTGTATTGCGATACAGTAACCGTTTGCGAAATCAACTGTGACCAATGGAGGTCACACTCCGCGTCCGTGAGGATAATCGGAGGGATCTAAACTTGGCAATATATATAGTTTTCAGATTCGTAAAATCTGCATAAATCATACTTACATATTTCGTCCGGATTATATTATCACAAACGTTTACTTGTTGCGTCATAGATACTGTAGAAAAATTCGAGTGACAAAGACAACAGTTTCGAATATTCCTGGATTATTCTATTTATAAATTTTACAATTTCTCTTAATTTTTACGTTTTTCACTGTAACACAGTTTTAAGCTCATTTCCTCAGTTTTGCCAAGTTTAGAATTAAAGCCCATCTCAGACACTCTACTGTTTCTTTGTGATTCGCGATAGAATTCGGATCAGAATCCTATTTATAATTCCACCTGTTGAAAACATTTGAAAATTTGTAGATGTGTAGGTATACAAGCTTATAGATACACGTCTAAAAATGTAATTCTGAGTCGTCCAATGTTTTCCAACAGATATCACTCAAGTTCTATCGCGAATCGTTCAAGGTGCGTTTAAAATGAAGGAGAAAAATGGACGCGCTTTTCTCCCCTAATTGGAGCGACGATTACCATCGCGAATCACACCTAACCGCGATGCCGGATCGCTCCGATCGAGCTCTCGAGGTATCGCTCGCAGCGCGCGAAGAGTGACTCACAAATATTGTGTTAGAATTCGTTTAACACTGTTTCTGTCTTCACACATGCTTTATACGAAAAGTTCTTGCGGTCTATTGTTTAACGTGCGTCCAGCGTCTCTTTCGCGAATAATTAATAAATACTTTGTTACTTTGTAAAACTCGAAATTGCAGCCGTGCGGAGTCGTGCGCTTGTTCGAGCCGTAACAGCGCGTTGATCGAATGCACGAGATCGAAACGTTGACTCGTCATCGTTATCGTAGAGTGCCTTCAATATGCGAATTCGCGAGTTCAGGTTCGCGAGCAGCTATTTGTCTCGGGAGCTGCGGTTTCGTATATCCGGCACTGAATTTACCGCGGGCAGGACAGAATATTCCGTGACACTTCGTGTGCCATTTTATCTCGCCCACCGCATTCGGCGTTTTTAATCAACGACACGAATTCGCCGGAGCATTGTGTGCGGCGAAATCGATATGCGGCCGCTTGGTTGCTTTCGAGCTTAGTCTGAATTAAATATGTGAATTTTGCTAGGACGAAAGGCCGCTGAACACACGGGGCATCCCTCGCCCATCGCATTTCATTAAATTTCGCCACCGCGCGCTGATACTAATTCACTCTGAAACATTCTTGCCCGACTACTCATCTCATACACACATCCACGTGCACGCACTCTGATCACACACGTATAGATCAATCGGTCATCGAGCAACCATCTCTTTCACACACACACACACACCATACACACACACACACACACATGCACACGTACATACACGCGCGCGCATAGACACGATACAACGAACGCGATAGACATGCGCGCCAGAGTTTCGCAATCGTAATAATCGCCGGGCCCGGTGTGGATCGATAGGAATTTTATCAACGACGGGCGATTACCGTGACGAAACACGCGCCGCGCACGACGTCGCGGACACCACGTGTCCATTGGCTGGACAAGGATCACCAGCAAACAGAAATAGCGTATAAGTAGCGAAAAGTAGTAACCACTTATCTATCCTAAATCTAAGGCACCTTCCGGGCGCGCGCCGAGAACAGCGAGAAAAAAAAATTGAGAAAAAAAAAAGATACAACCAGTTCCCGGCCACAAAAACGAAATCCAGCTATCTTCTCCCGTTACCTAAGAAACTTCAAATCAACACATGCAAATCTATCCGCTAATCATCCCGTTCGTCAGGCTTCAGCGTGCGGCGCCTTCTCTCCCTCGCTCCGCGAATCATCTCGTTGATTCGGCGCGATCGGTGTCTTCATTAAGTACGTACTTAATTGATCAATTGATTCGATCGAGCTCCTGTCGCCGCCGCGCGACGTCGTCCTCCGATCGGCCGCGAGAGCGCCGAGATGCGATCGCGTTCGGAGCGCTGCGCCGAACGAGTGTACTGCGCGATCCTCTCTCTTTTCGACTCTCACTCCCTCTCTCTCTCTTCCTCTCGCTCTCCTACCATTTGCTGTCCAGATTGCATTTGCCGATCGACGACGTTGACGCCGACGACGTGGACGCCTTCCGCTCGGCGCCGGGCGCGGCGCTCCCGGAGAACGGACTGACAGTACGTTTGTTCATCTCTGAAAGAGACGAGCGAATGATAATCGGTCAAAGAACGCAATGCACGCGAATGCAATGTGCTGTTATCTTAGAATCGCGGGATAATCACTCGCGAAGCGAAGCACCAACACACACACACGCACACACAGTGCCACACACTCGCCCAAAGCCTACGTACCGGATATCAACAGCATTATCTTGCGCCTCGCGCCCCAAGCGGTAATTCCAATTTCGCAGAGGTCCTTCTCTGTGAGAGAAGGGAACGTAGCCATGTCCACCTCGTGAGACGTGAACAGGCCTGGCGAGCAAAAAGAAAAAAAGAAAAACAAAAGCTATTTTTTTACCTGTTCGTGCGAAGAAGCGAGTAAGAAAGCAGAAGGAAAGCAAAGCATGCATCGTGACGAGCATCGATTCGCGCAAAGTAACTTTCAATTTACTCACGTATATATTTCTCCAAGCCGATGCTGGTCAGCATGCTGGCCAGATCGTTGTAGCGATGGGACGTGATCTTGTTCAAATGGGAAGTCGGTGTGTGGTCCATGTAGTTGGAGGCCATGCCGATCTGTCCGACACGGTCCTTGCTTGAGATAATACCGAAGTCCATCTCGGTATTGAACACCGGCGTGGTCGGCTCTTTCCACAAGTCCGAAGGATGTGACGTCAGCTCCTGGATTCAAATAGATAGCGGTCAGTTTGCGGCGACGTTTCCCCTCGTCGTCGCCCCGATTCGCGTTTACCGATAAATATTTCAGGCGCCAATTCGCCGGGCCAAGAAATTGCATCAACAGTCTTTATTAGCTACCTCCGACCGACCCCGCTACTTCGGTTCTACTTCGCGACCTAATTATTTCTAACGAATTGCGGAGGGAATTACCTTGCTCAAGTCACTCGTAGTTATAGGCGGAATACTTTGGCTGAGGCCGTAGCCGGACCAGGCGGAAGTCGGCACGCGGTAGTCGCTGCCGCTCTGCTTGTTCTGCATCGCCTTCGCGGCCAGCAGCTTCTTCTGCTCGTAGTCGAAGGGTGTGAGATTCTGCTGCGCAGCCATCTCTAAGGTCTTCTTTTCGCAACCGGGTGCGCGTCGATCGGTGACCGATAAATCGGACAGCATGCTGGATAAATCCGCTGAAAGACAGAACGACGCTCATGCTGCGATCGATTCCCCGAAATCGTGACTCTTGGTCTTAAGAAGTTTCACTCACCTAAGTTAGGACTAGTATCTGTAGGATTGACTGGCGAAATATTGCGAGGACTGATAGCGGGACTAGATAGAGAGCTAGAAACGCTACTTAGCGACGAGTAAGCTGCAAATAAATTCGCAAATGACGTTAGAACGCGAAGAATTGGAGAGAAATTAAATTCGTGAATACAGGATGAAACATCCAATTGTTGACATCCCCTTAGTCATTGAAACTTCAGAAAAAACCTGATTTTTATGTGATCAGCATTGCAGTTAACCTTGCATTGCAGAAACTTCTACATTCAATAATGAGAACTTCTCAACTGAAATTATGAACAACCGGCACTGTTGCAAGAAAAAACAGACTTTGCTAGTGTTAGTGATTAACGGGGATCGACAATCAGTTGTTTGACCCTGCAAGGAGAATAAGAGCGACTCACCACTGCTACCCTCTTTGCTATCCGTCAGCGAGTTAGTGCTCAGACCGTGGATACCAGGAAAGTTGGCCGATGCGTTGTGATGAAACGGCCCGAGGCCGGGCATCACATGATTCGACATACCATGAGGATGAGGCATCATATTGTTGTGCAGCATATGTTGTGTCGTCAGTAGGTGGTTCAAGTGAGTATAGGGGTACGGATGGTGCGTGCCCAGCGGTGAGAACACGGATGGAAGATGAGGGAGGCCCCAATGCGGCGAGAGCCCCATAGGATTCGGCGAATGAGGAATAGGCGACACGCAATATGGCGAATTCTGCGTGTTTATCGTCAACATGTTCGAGAAGTTGTCCGGCACGCCGCTTATCAAGTTGTTGGAGCCTAAACGAAACAAACCGGATAAATGCGACAGCTTTCAGTGATTTCAAGATATGGGAAATGATACGCGACGCGAAATTATCTTCCCCTCTGGATCTAAATTGACGACCATTTATCTCGACACTTACTGACGTCGTTGGTGGAGTTGCCTTGGAAGATACTGCCGGCGTTTGGAATGTGGTAAGTGGCCGGTATCTCGGCGTGGACTCTGGGCTCGTCCAGCCCGAGCAGTTGCTTACGCGCCTCGTAAATGTTGCCGGCATTTCTCTCGATACCCTTGATGATCACCGAGAGCGTACTCTGCTTCGGCTTGTGACGGATGTTGATGAACACGTCCAAGGACTGCATAAGTTGAGAAATCTTCTCAGTGTCGACGGATGCGGATACAGAATCCTCAGGAAGGTCGAACATCAGTACCAACGGCAATGAGCCCTGTGAAAGAGTAATAATCGTCAATATGTGGATATGCAAATTACATAGACTATCGTTCTCACCTAATAAGTTCGAGAAATTTCCTAAGATTAACACGCATGATAAGGGAAAGAAGAAAATTTAGTATTAAAGCTCCTGATCCCATTCCGCGAAACTCCTGAAGATGACGTTTGATTGATGAAGAAGCGAGAAATGATGCGCTGAAAATTCTTGCGTGTCATATTCGAATGAAAAGATATTTGTATGAAAGAGCACTTTTGGTCTCTTAAGTATACTTGTAAAATGCTCTGAAAACTATCTTTTTTCCTTTGACAGCCAATGAGTAGCCGTAAATTTAGCATGACACGCAATCTCTTTCTTTAATCCACCTTTTCTCATGATTTTGTCAGTTCCGTTTATTTTTCGGCTATTTAATGATTATCAAGGAGAAAGGATAATTTTCAAAACATTTTACAAGTATATTCAAGCAGTCTGAAGTGTTTTTTTTTCATACAAATATCTTTTTACGTGGAAATCGCAAGAATTTTCGTGTTACTTCTCGCTTCGTCACAACGTCACAGTCCAACATGGCCGCGGCGAGTGTCCACAGGAGTCTCAAATTAGGATACAATAGATTTATTAAAGTTGCACGGACTTTGCAATTTCTCACGGAGAAAAAAGAAATAGTATTAATTAACGGAGACGTATAAGACGTAAGAGCGCGAGTCATCTTACCACTAACTGTTGCCGAGCCAAGTAAACATTGTGTATGGCGCCAGTAATGGTGACGTTGCTCTTTTTGAGACTGGGTATATTGGGATCGCCGGCATCCGGAAACATGATCTGCGTAGCTGTACGTTGCATGATCATCTTCAGGTTACTGCTCTGCTTCCCTAACACGATGCTGTGATGTTGGGGTGAGATCTCCATCGACATTTGTACTTGAATTTGACTCTAAACGGGGGGAGGAGAGAAGAAAGAAACGCTCGCAATCAGTGTGTCATACGCGACGGACGGTTGAATAGTCGATCGATTCTCGATTACGCTTGTCGGACACTCACAGCTAAGTTTTTGCACATGTAACGAATCAGCAGAACCGTCGCTTCCTTGACCTGGGAAACCTCCCATTCGCAGCCCTTCACGACCACCAGGGTGGCGTGCAACTTCGGTCTCGTGCGGAACATGACTTGTACATTGTACTTCTCCTGTATCTTCACCACGTACGGCGAGGTGCAGTCCGGAGTGCTCTGCGACGCACCCATTATGGGCAGCTCGAATGAGAAGATCAGCGGCGTCAGATTCTGAAACGCGAAGACGACGGTACATGAGCTTCTCCGTCTGTAACCTGAGCGGCGCGGATTTCGCGCGGAAGGAGCCCCTCACCCTGACGCGAGCGCGGGCGCGTTCGACGCCCTCCATTTCGCCGGCGATGGAAACCTGATTGCTCTTGTCTTGGTGATTGCTGCGGTTACTGTCTGGGAAGTGAATGTGGCAGCCGGTTTCCTCCATCACCCGTTTGATCGTCAGGCCGCCCTTACCGATGATGTGCGAATGGTCGGTGTAACTGACGTCTAGTTTCATGGTCACTCTGTTACTTTGCTGCAAGCCAAGTCAAATCGCACATATTTATCACATCGTATCTCTACGTCGGCAAACGCTGCACAACGGAGGAACTCGCTGTGCTTCAATAATACACTTACTCTATAACAATCTTAAGGGACGTCTACATTGGAAGTAAATAGCAAGAAGTAGGAAATAAGAGTAAGAAATTGACCAACCACAGTCGAATGTGAGAAGAATAATCAACTATGATTGGTCAATTTCTTATTCTTACTTCCTACTTCTTACTGCTTACTTCCAATGTAGACGTCCTTTTATATAAGAGTATAATTTAAGAAAGTAACGAAATATCTTATCGAGCGCGTCCGGTTAGATATTCGCTGCAACGATCGAAGTAAACTCGACGACGGCAGACATTTTATTCGGAACTTAAAGAAATATCCTAGTTTATGAAAAGTTGCAAAAAGAGATGTTTTTCTGAAATTTTTTTTGTAAAGAAACGAAAAATCGAATAATGTCCAACTTTCATTTAACCTTGTTAAAGAATATATTTTTATCGTTCAAGTGACAGAAACTCTTCTTTTGTGTGTTATTTTCTGGTCACTAGGAGTTTACAAAAGGAACGGACAGTATAAGTGATTATGGCTCTTCCAAATATCTGAAACGAAAATTTGTCTTATTCAGGAAAAGTGTGGGTTCATCATTTAAACTAGAGGAAACATTATACACTTATTAGTTTTTTTTTTTTATACGTTCCACACTTTTCCTGAATAAGAAAATTGTTGTATTTCAAATGTACTTAAGAAAACCAAAATCACTTACACCGCCCGTATATATTTTTTTGCGAGTACCTAGTAATCAGGAGATAACACACAGAAGAAGAGCGTCTTTGCCGCTTAGATAATAAAAATATATTTTTCAAGTAAAGCTTAAAGAATATGCAAAGTTCGACGGTATTCGTTGTTTCCCTACAAAAAATGCCGGTAAAGTATCTCTTTTTTGCAATCTTTCAGAATACTCCCTTAATGAGCGATATTACGTACTCACATCGAAAGTTGGAACCTGTCGCCGCTACCATCTCTGCAGAAATTTTTATCGCTGCGAAACGATTCGAATTGGAAATGCAAATTAGGCCGAAATTATCGATAATATCGATTAATTTGGGGAACGAAAGAGCCTGCATTACCACGACGCGCGGGGTCTTCATTATGAGATCCTCGCGAGAGGGAGAAAGAGAGATTAACACAGCAATCAGCGCGGGATCATCGCCGCCGAGAGAAAGTGCGCGCGTCTCCTACATATTTATCTATTCGAGCATTGATTATACATTCGCGTTACGTCTCGCACGAGCGTGTATCTTCCTCTCGGCAAAGCGTATTTCCGCCACGAGATCGAGCGTTCATCGACTTCGCAGTGGCGTGAGCCGCGCTTCTCGGAGCATATCGCGAAACGAGTCGCGCTCGCGATTTTAAATATCGCGTGGCCGAGCGTTACATAAAGTCACGCGACAGCGTCGCGAGTCGGCGATCCGGTCGTGCGATTTCAGAAAGCCTTTCCCCGCGGCTGCGGAGAACGAGCCGTCGTGTCACCACCGTCGCCGCCCGCGCTCTCTAGAAAAAGCCGCGAGACTGCATGAAATTCAGGACACCGGCGCATCCTGCATCGACATCACGACGAGATATTGAATATCCCGCGCACGTGTCCGACTGCCGACTCTATAAATACCGTCGCGCTATTTACGCGCCATTCGCGTTCCGTAATTAGCGCTATACAGTGTCACTATCCCACCCTGGTGCGCGCGAGCTTTTGACGCAGAGAGCTTGGCATCTATTTTAAAGCGCGCCGCATAGCGAATCGCGAATTGCGAGGTGCACGGATGGACAAAGAGGACGAGGAGGAGGTGGAGGAAACGCGCGATTCTCGTTCCCCCGAAAACTGAGCGCGCGCGCGAGATTATCCTCGTTTCTCGGCAAGGGTACACGCGCGCCTTTCACGTCCTTCCACGCCCCGCTCTGCAGCGTCCGTCTGCGTATTCGCGCCTCTGGAACGCACCACGGAATGCATTCGACAAAGTAACAGGAATCGATCGGTACGCCCGGTATGGTCGGCAAAAAGCGACAAGTCCGGCTTGGCCGTACCTCCGTGCGATTTAACGGTAACGGGACCGTCGTTGTCGTCGTCGTCTCGTCGCATCGTCGTGGCTTCTTCTCTAACCGGGACCGTCCGCGGGACAAGTACCGTTAGTGTGAGTGAAGGGTCGACACGGTTGCGTGTCTGAAATCGCGAACGATGAAAAACGCGGAAAAATTACTCGGGAAAAGTTCGGAATCTCATCGGATTTAATTTTCATTTGAATTTCTCGATTCGCGCGTGCACGAAATCGGAGAAATGGGTTTATGCACAAGCACGAGTGTAACGCGCGCGTACAGCTTGGAGATTAGTTTTCTCCGGTTCTCTTGGAAACGAGCGAGAGCGCTCGATTGATGAAGATGTTTATGCTTTTATGTCGTTTAGCGTACGTTGGCCTTTAGCCTCTCTTTCTCTGTTTCTCGCAGTATGTGTGTGTGTGTACAGTGCGATTCGACGATTCGACTGTTCGTCTAAACGATTCGCTTTCTCGCCTGAGAATTTGCCGCGACCGCGGGTGACGTATAAATAGAACGCGCGTTCTTCCTGCGTGGTCTCTCACGCGAGTCGCTCTCTTCCTTCAGCTCGCCGCGTCTCTCCCCCTCGAGCTTCCTTGCTCTTGCGCGACCTGTGTCTAGTAATTAAGCAGACACGTGCAAAACGACGAAGCAGACGAAAAAGAAACGGCCAAGTCGTGACCTCCGGAGAAGTCGATTATTCTGAAGTCTGACGACTCGAGGACGGAGGTGTATATCGTGTATTTCACTCGAAACCAGAAGAAATATCAATTTATTATCAGTTATTGCGCTACATACCTGAAAAGGTCGCTCACACATATACATACGTTTGCCTTGTCTTGACTTTATCCTTTTTCTTTCTCCAACACTTATTACACATTCTCACATATCAAAGGACATACCACACGCTAAACTATATTGAAATTATAAAGATAAATGTGAGGAATCGTCGACGGTTTTCGCGATTTCTGTCGCATCAGATATGATGACGTAACGGCTGTGTAAAGAGGAACAGATGGCCGTTCTCGAATGCCACGCAATTGAATTCGGTAATCGCCCATCTGCCGTGCACTCTTTGGTCACTGATAATGGTACTAACAGGCACGTCCTTGCACTCGATCGCGCGAGTTTCGCGTGCAACGTCGCTCGTTTCCTGTATCGCGCAAAAGAGACCTGGGAATTGCAAGCAGGCTAGGGTGACGTTGCACCGCGTTGAAAGACTGCCGGAATCATCATATTGCGATATTTTCGAAACTCTCGTTTCACAGGTCGGCATACTTTCTCGAGACTGCCATTTGGTCGTGTGACCTTTTAAATTTTTACTCCGAATTTAAATGAGATCGCGAATGAATTAATCGGCGTATCTATAATCTCGCAATCCGATTCGCCCACCATTCGATCGGTTTCGTCCGTTATCGTGTCGCAATTCGAGCATCAGACTCGAAAGGAGGATGTTAAAAATGGGTCATTTTTAGCCTACTGACGAAACCTTAATTAACCACTAAAAACTGTTTCTTCTAGAAACAGAAAATAACAATTACTTGTCCACCAGGTCCGGGAAAAGTTATGAAAATCGAAATTTATTATTGATTGTTGAAGTATAAAGTGTTTTTCTTATCCTTGATATGTCTTTAAAATCGAGTAAATTGCTCATTTATGTCTTGAGAAGCGAATAGTAAATGCACATAAGTTTATCTACTTTTTAATTTATGCAATATTCATAGGCTGTATATGCAGAAAGGAAAAACTTATTACTTACATTTTCTAATACTTATCTAACAAACTCTTTTATTGAGATACTTTAAGAAGTAAAAAAAAAAGGAAAAAATCAAGAAGAAATCATTAATTATTCTCGTTCGTAAAAACGCCCATTTTTCATGATTGTATTTATACATTTCTACACACATATACATGATGTGAATCAAAAAGTCAAATTCTCTACATTCACTAAGTATGTTTCAACACATAAATGTGTAATTTATCTTATTTTGATCACAGATAAAATATACAAAGCTTAAGAAACACTTCATATATGATTATTTCAACAATCGATAATAAATCCCAACTTTCATAACTTTCCTTAGTGGGCAAATAATTGTTATTTTTTATTTATAAGAAATCTTAGAAACAATTTTTAATGGTTAGTTAAGGTTCCGTTAATGAGTCAAAAAACGACTTATCTTTGACATCCTCCTTTCTTCCTTTCAAGAACTCACAATTTTCAAATCGCCACTTACCCGTGTGTCTAAAATTTCCATTATCTTCTCCTTCGCCGATCGTACATCGTCCAGTCGTCCCGCGACCTTTATGTGCGGATCTGAAAGCAGATATATCAAATTAGAGGGCAATCCAGGGGAAGCGAGGAACATCTATCTATATTTATTTGGATCGATTAATATAACAGGGGCCTGAAATAATTCGGTTGGCCAGAACGGCAACGCGCCGGGCCTCGAAGTTGCGGAACGCGATGTTGGCGAGAACTACTGACCGTAGAACCGATGTCAATCGATGGCCATTTAGAAGTCGCTCTTAGTATTCGCAGAGCGCGCGCGCGTGTACGCACGCACGCACGCACGCTTCTTCCTGAACGCGAGGCCTTCGACTGTATAATGTGTTCCAAAGTCGAGCGCGATCACGCGCCCATTGGCGGAGTGTAACGATCGTGCGTTTCCTGTGTGTCGAAAATACACGTCGCATTCGAGGTCACATCTCGAAAATACGAATCAATAAGACACGTTAATCAATCGGCTTTCGCCGCATTCCACCTCCAGCGACAACTTGGCGGAATCTCCCTTGTTAAGGAAAAAACAGAAATAAACATGTATTTCTGGAATGGGAGGGGGAGGGGAGGCGAGAGGGGGATGTCCGGCCGGTAATCAAAACAGTGATACCGTATCGTTTTCGTTATTAGTATTGCTACGATATATTATGTTATGAAGTTTGTATTTTATCTCGCTGTAAAGAGAATATGACGACCGCGTTACGTAAGTCTTCCTATGAAAACAACGATGCGCAATGTCATTTTTGCTCAGAGAGAAGCTGCGACCTGATCATCCCCTTCGATCGTCACACGCTCGGTCGCGATCTCACCGTGTGTTAGCCGTTAGCGCGAACACCTATCACTTCTCACGGCGGCGCGGGTTATTTTTAGAAGCGACGTCCACTACCCGAGACACGAAGGTGCATAGCGGATTCCGCGTGCGTCGATGCACAAGACTTTAAGGCCCGCGATGACCTGACCTCTTTAAGTCACGCCGAGCATAGAAAGTAGAGGCTCAGAGTCCTGTTTGCGCAGGTAGAGCGATAAGAGGCGTCGTTGCGAGAGCGGGGCAGGTGTCGGAGGCTCGACTGATAATCCGAGTGATACCGGGATGTCCTGCAATAGAACGCGCGCGAAATGTATCGCCGTGCTCTCTGCGATAATTTTCACGACTCGGAAAAACACGCTCGAGGAAAAAACAGCGATAACAGTGCGGTATATACGCAAGAAAAAACTGCGACCAGAATGAAACCTACGAGGAAATATTGGAAATAGCTGAATGTCGAGTGCGGAAATGAACAGATGCGAGACACGTAACGCCTTATAAATAGGATTCGATTATCGTGATTGACTAGTCGGCAACTTCCCACAAGAACAGCTAAATTCTTATCAAGTTCTTATTAATGAGAATGAATTTCCGAATTTGTGTTTCCCGTCATAAGTCTCGTCTCGCGGCATCGATTCGGGCGTTTCATCAGTTACTTTATACATTGAGGAAAAAAAGATCTAGAAAATTAAAAATACTTATTCGGTGGTTACACTGAGAGAAAAAGATATCTAAGGAGTAACAATTATTTTATTCGCTAGCTACTCTTTGATAACATTTAATTTTGTACTAGTGTACAATATTTTTTAAATAAGAAAATATACACCTTCTAATTCACTTATATTTATATAAAATATTAATATAAGATACAAATAAGAAGAGAGATATATGTTTTCTTAAAACCTTAATTTTTCTTGAGAGCGATTATTTATTCTATTTAAATGAAAGTGATTGAAGTTAATAGGGGAAAACGTCCACAGTAACTGATACTCTTGCGCAGATGTTGTCGAGTGTGTGGACTTGAAAGAAAATAAATAAATAATAAATAATTAATCAATCTCCGTACAACTTGATATCTGATGGGACCTGAACAAGTGTGAACAGGTGAAAACTGGTGAACGCCGGCTACTGGACGTTTTCCCTTATGCTATTAATATCCACCGCGAACAAATGTTTTTATTTGTTAGATACATTTTTCTCTGCACCCTAGAGAGCAGCTCGAAAAGAACGAATGCTCCGTAAGTTAATTCGCTTGTAGGAGAATTTAATTAGGCGACACACAGAGCACTTTCCCAATGCAACGTCATGAACTATAATCCCACGTATTAACTCGGTCTCGGTCGAATGTACGAACCGGGCGGATAATTTGGTGAAACAGCAATATTACGAGTCACGCGATATCTGGTTTTCAAGTTTTCTTGTTTACTCGGCAAGCATGCACCAATCAATATCTACCGCTAGTACAACTGCGATGTGATGTAAAGATAGGCAAAGGTCAACTTGCCGTTTATCGTGGAACGCTTTGTAACTCCAATTTCGAAATGAACGAATGCGTTTCGAAATTGAGATACGAAGTCGACAGTAGGCGCATCGGTATCTGCTCAATTCGCTCGTGATTCGTAATTTCTCTGTTTCCATTCGTTTTTCCTTTTTCTTTTTTCTTTCTTTCAGAGTTACTTTCTGCGCGTTACCTTCACCCGTCTTCGTTTCGCGTACTGCAGTATACATCACTCTGCCATTACGTATCGAGAGATACATAAAAAACAGCCACGAGTTATGCGAGCCGAAGTACAGCGTGTGGCTTACGTGACTGCGAACACACATCGACGAGTACGTCTCCGCGCGGAATTAGAGTGGCGGCTGCACTTTGCGATTGACGTTTAATTCGCTCGCGGACAATTAGCTGGCCGTTTCGACCGACCGAATCTCGCTGATCTCGCTGCGCAAAATTCGCGACGACGTTTTCGAGAGCGGGTCAGATCGCGCGAGGAGAGATATAATATCGCCAGCGGCACGACAGAAAGAGAGAGAAAGGGGGGAAAGATAATTTGATAATATCTATTAACCGTGAAGCGCATGATATGTGAGTCAGTTTGACCTGAGCCTCAAACACATATTCTATTTCGAGTGTTGCATTCGTGCGTATCGCCATTCGCGATGAAGCGTATCACGATCTAAATACGAGATTACATGCTAAGTGGTTTTTTATACAGGACTTTGCGGAATCATCGGTATTCCCATTGGATTTCGTAGTTTACAATTTAAAGTCAGATTTTAACGATAATTCGAGGGCACCGCCTTCTCCCTCCAAAGCTTCGTTAATTTTAATAATTGGCATTAATAAACTGAGTCGCGTTAATGCCGAGATTTTATTAAAATAAATTATGAAAATGTCATTGAGTCAAATAATAAACAGCTTATAAAAACGAGAAGAAGCTCGAAATGAAAAAGGAAAATAATCAGAAGCCGCGGAAGTGCGACGTATAGTTTACTACGAAAAACTGTGAATATATTTCAAATAATGATTCAATCGGTTTGTGATCGAATCTCGATTCGTTGCAATATTAATGAGGATGTTTCATCGCGAAAGATTCCGAGCTGGTCGAGGCTTTTGCGTGTCAACAAAATCGAACGACTCTACGTTAGCGTAAAGAAGAATTCACATCTTGGCAAGAAGATAGAAGACAATAAGAACTGGCATCGATGGTCAGGTGATAGTCGACAATATCTGCTTTTCTACCAGCGCGAGTTCTGACTGGTTTTCTGTCAAGATGTGAATTCTTCCTAAAGTATTTTACACGGAATGTTTTTACCACAATCGTAGGACTACACGAGGTGTGCAGAATCGATCCGAGTTGTGTCGTCACGGAGATTAACGACAGATTCTCCTCCCGGTCATCGACGTTTCCGCAATTATATCCAGAGAATTATTAGGACGGTCGTAATAAAACTCGTGAATGAATTGCAATAATCCGTATCGCGCGCGTATGTGTGTGTGCGGATAAATCATGCATTCCGGCGATAAAGTAGAGTCACGGCGAGCACCGAAAAGAGATATACCCGACGGACTTATTTATACCAGATTACATAGGCTGCCACGCACGATCGAACCCGTGAAGAAAGAAACAAAATACGAGCGAGAAAGATGGAGTGGGACGACGAGGGAGAGAGGGAAGCAGAGGGAGAGAAGGAGAGAGGGAGAGTACGGCAAAAAGAGATGGAAGAGAAAGATGCAACAGCTGTTTAGGTCACGAGGAAGGGATGAATCACCGAAAAATTTCCATGGCAACTAACTGGACGGCCGGCGATTCGAGCGAACGACGGATCGATTCTCGCGTAATTTATTTGTCAAGAGATAAGTGACGAAATAATAATCTCACAATTGACGTGAAGAGCTCTCGGGACAGGCGACTAATCAATTCGCAGCACGAGGTCGCGCGTGGTCATCGCGTCCTTTCGGTCTCGACATTAAATACGGAAACCTTCGCGTTTATATCTGGAAGCTTCTCGCTCGACCTCTCCGCGAACTCCGTCCGATCGGGTGATTTTTAGCGGGTCGTCCGAAATTTCGCCGGGTGAGAATTTTTCACGATCGGAACGAGATTTTTCACGTTGACGCAACGCGGAATATAGAACATCGCTTTCCCGCCGAAACCATACACCTCTCCGTTCTGTCGGTGGATAAAAATTTAACAAAAAAAGAAGAAAAAAGATCTCTGATATCGAAATTGACGCGAAAAAGAAATTCTCTATTTTTCCTTTTCGAAGAGAGAAATATACGTGTACATATATATCAAATTCCCGATACAAAAATTTCTATCCAACTGCCGACCTCGGACAGTCGGATTTTGTGTATGTTTGCACCGCGCCAACGACGAAACTTTAAATAGCGATCGCACAGCAACGTGTGCGAGGCGTCAGCTGACGAGGAGACACGACCCACAACGATTGACGTAATCCGCGGACGCACAACTACGCACGTACGAACGCTTTGGCGAATTCGCGAAGGATCGTGAAAGGTGATTTTCGCGTCTCCCACGAGTGCGCTCTCAAGGACACGCGCGTCGTCGTCGTCGAATATTAATTCCACGTCGCCCTCGAGACTCTCTCGCGACACTTCCGCTTGTACGGCGTTCTTCACTGTCTTGAAATTGCCGTAAGGAGAATGTCGAATGCAGTTATCCTCGAATTCGCGCAATGCACTTTTGTATCTCGATGCGCACGGCTACGTTGTTTCGCAAGGATTCGTTCCTTTCCCGAAGAAGCCGACTAGAAACTTATGGTCCTGATCAGGTCGATCCCAATCAGTTACCTAGCTTGATCAAAATGATGTCATCGAGTCCTAATAAGTCACGTAATGATTAAAGATGATTAATGATTAAGATCTTGTTAATAATTAAGACCCGACAACATCATTTTACGTTCATAATGACAAATATACGAGTTTTGTATGTAGAATTGTAGCAATTATAATTTAATAAACTATTTTGTAGTTAGCACAACTATAATCTTTAGTTGTAATAACTGTAAAATAGCTTGTCAAACTATACAATTTTACAACTTGTCATCTGTATAGTTGCCATCACCATCTTTTACATACGGAGAGAATATTATGATTTTCTTTCGTGTAAATTCCTTTGAATTTTACGCAATTGTAGAAGTCCAGGAATAGACTGTCAGTAAAGCTTATCATGCTGAGGAACATAGTATATTTCGCAAGAAACATAACAAGTGTTTTAACAGCATATTTGTTCTCAAAACATAACTGGCACACATGAAATGAAAGGATGGTGAATTACTGCGGAACGTCGATCTATTCCTCCATATTATAGAATCCTATATATTAATTTTTAGTATAAAATTTTTTCCGCGCGTATGCAAACTAAATAACTGATTGGGAGACCTGAAATCAGGACTGTGGGATAAGTTTCTAGTCGGAAATTCTACGGTTATAATCACGCGCCATGACCTTGTATAATTTTCATCGTCAAGAGCATTTCGATCAGTTTCAATTCTTTTGTTTTTTATCTCAAAATTGAGTCGTTTTAAGAACACACGATATCGTATCGATTACATCAGAGAGAAGAGAGATTACATACGCCACAAATGGCTCATACCTTTCTTCGACTTCGCCCCGATCTTCAGTCGCGACGGCCACGTAACGAAGGTATTCGTCTCCTCCATAACCTGCAACAATATGGAATCAAGATTAAAGCCACGTGTCGTTAAACGACTTCCTTTTAGCGTGAGAATTGTAATGTTAAGTGATGGCGCAACGTTAAAAGACTTTGGCCACTTTTTTGTGTTATTTCTCATTCTCTAGTCGTTTCCTTTTTTCTCTCTAGAACACAAGTCTTTTAGTTATTTTCAGCTTACAAAGTAAGACTCATACTTTTTGTGTAATCGAATATTGATGGCGTGTCAATGGCGAAATATCAATCACGACTGCCTGTACGAAAATTCTTATCGGTCTATCAGGTTATCGGCTTTTTCGCGTAACTTTGGCAATTTAATCTTTTGGACACGTAGCCTCCACTTATCAAAGTGACACGGTTGATTGCTATTTACCTACGAACGATCGCGTCCTTATCGCGTCGAGTTTTCTATTGAATTTTTTACCACATTGCTTCTCGCCTACAATATCGCCGAGCATTTAATTTCCTGCGCGAACAGCTTGCAGTCTCGGACAGAAATCGCTGCTGATTATTTACGAACGCGAACCCTCTGTTTCTAATTAACACAAGCGACCGTGAACACATTATTCGACAGCTCACGCGGGGTAGTCTATCTACCTATCTTTAGACGGATCCTTTAACTTATTAATTCTCCGCGTGTAATTTCTAAATTTAGACAAAGCCGGCTATTTTTGCGCGAACTTGTACGCGTAGCTGCTCTCTAACTTTGTAATATACTCGACTGTCTCGAGCTACGCGAATCTTTGGGTGAAACTGTGGAATTTGAAATTACACGCTACTTGTGCCCGCGTGACATCTGACTTAGAGCGAGACGATACAATCTGCGACTGTATTAACCCTTCGCATTTTAGGTCTCCGGCTTTATATACGAAAGTGTTGAATGCACAATATCGTCGGACTCTCCGTGACTATGCTCTCGCGCTCATACTTTATACGGCACATTGGGCGCTAAACACGGCGCGCGCATAAATATGAATGTCAGCCACCGACTTTGGAATCGAGTGTGCTTCAACTTTATCGTCGAGCTTCGGACAAACGATCATCATCATTACCACAGTCATTGTCGTTGGATGTAAATCCGATGTCCCACCGTCGTCCACGTGCGATCTCAGCGAGCGAAGGTGGAAAAGGCAGAGAACAAGAGAAAGAAAGAGAGATAGAGAGAGAAAGAGACCGAAAGAACAGGTCAGAGAGAAGGAGATACGGCGAACCGCACGCCACGTTGGCCACACAAGTCACTATTAAAAATTCCAAGTCTTAAGGAGGGGACAACGACATGGCGACCTCGCTGCAACTTTTACGATAATGATAACAGGTCACTCGGCACTGCGTACCAGCCAATCAACAGCAATCGTATGGTGGTCGGTGCGGGTGTATCAAGAGAGAGAGAGAGAGAGAGAGAGAGAGAGAGAGAGAGGGAAGGAAGGAGAGAGAGAAACCGAGTTTACTTTCACTACCAGCCCCGCACACACCGTCAATCACGATTAAGTATCCCGGAAGACCGTCGCGGTTGCTAATTAACCGACGAGGTTCCACCTGGTCGCAAGTGGTAGAGGAAAATAATCGTCCACGCGACAAGTTTCTCGACCTCGCGACAGATCACACAGCTCCGAAACACACGAGTTTCTCCGCGGGACACGGCACGACACGACACGACACGAGGACGTATCCGATATTTCGCGAGCAGTCGCCAAACTGCACTCTCTATCACAAGCCCCACTGCGATGATCAATTGATCAATTAGAGCCGATTGTAGAATTCACGCCGGTGAGACTCCCCCTTATCACACTCTAGCCCACAGTGCGATGCACTCAGGTGCGTCTCCGAGCCACACTTGGACCTCACTCGAAACGCGCCGTCGATTCGATCGTTTCGCGCCGTGCCGATGCACACCGCAGGTTGCGACAACGAGCCGACTTCGTTTCAACCGCCACGGGATCGCTGGCACGACTGACTGACTAACGCGAGATAATATAACGGGTCGGTCTGGGCGAACCACCTCCCACTCGCCGCTGCCGCGTCACGGCTCCACTCCGCACTCCACGTCGCCCGTCATCGCGACCCTGCCCTCCACCCGCGAACCCCTCTTCACCAGCAGTTCCTCCACCTGCGACCCCCGCGCGCGCCTCTCGCGAAGGCGAGCCGGTGGCCTCCGACGCCGGCCACGGCAGAACACCGGTTGACGAACCTGAGGAACGTGCAGTTCCGCATCCACGTCGCGTTAAACGTGGCCGATGATGATGAGCTAACAACAGCCGTTTCTTCACGTCGACAGTCGTCATCTCCTCTTTCTCTCTTTTTCTTTTTCTCTCAATGATGGTTCCAGATGTCTGATAAGGCATACGCCACTAATCGGTGTTTGGAAGGTAAAGTTTGTAGCCTTGGAAAATAATCCAAAGGATGTTCTAAAGAATCTCACGTCCAAACGAACACGTTCTTACGTAGTGGCGGTTAGGTTAAAACTTGACAGTCATCTTTGAGAGAACAGAACGGAAACTCTGAAACGGTCGTGGGATGATACCGATCGCGAACATATGTTCCGACTGATGTCTCGAAATTTTTCACGCTACGATCACCGCGACTCTGATTGGACTGTGATTACAGCTTTTTTCTCTTCGCACGATTGAACGTATAAAAAACTTTTAATTGCTTTGTTGAGACTAATCGCGAGAAGTCTCTGCTATTCTAAGCATGAATCTGTGTAAGCGCACTACGTAGGTTACGAGTATTTGTCTTAGCCGCAGTAATTGCTAGTACAATTCCGCGGAACAATACGATGACTCATCAACGATCGCCTCATTGGCGAATAGACTCGCGCGCCGCTTGTGCATATACTCAAGTCGATTTATGCACGATAGCCTTTAGACTTGGTCGCGATGAGAATACAGACCGGTGGGATTGATAAAGCCTTGCCCGAGTTCGCCTCACAACAACGCGCGTCGTCTTCCAACGAGTGAGCTATGAGTGGTGACCATTTGCGTGGATAAATTTCGCGAGTCAACTGGGCCCCAGCAACCGTGGACACACGTCGCGAACCGGGTTGGTCGGCGGCGGCCAGGTGTGAGGAACTAGAACTTATCCAACGAGCGACCTTGGATCATGCTCACTTGATATTCCGAGCGCAACATTATATTCCACGGAGGAGGCGAGCGCACATGGCAATCGGCAGGCATGGCTGGTTTTTCACGCACCACACCGTTCCACGATAACGGGCTTCTTTTTCCTTTCTATGTAAAGAAGGGCCTCCGCGTCGAGGAAGAAGAGCCGTAAACCTGTCTGACCGAATCAGAAGGCAGGTTTTCGTCTGTTATCAAGCGACGGTTGGTGGCGTTATAAAATTCGCAGCAACAACAACGAAGGTGGAATACGTGACTGCTGGTGCTAAAATTGTGTCAGATGTAAGCGACTGGCCCTCCCCCCTTCGCGCTTCCCTCCGCGTTGCGACTCGCGGTATTTTTAGGCGGCGTGGCAATTCGGTGACGGAAGACGCATAAGAGGATTGAACCGGAGACGCGATCGATACGCATGGTGTAGTACCACACATCGGTGTACTTCCACCCACTGGTTCCGACCAATTTAGACGTCGGATCGGTCCAATCGTCGAAACGCCGTGAGGCCGAAATCGCTCGCGCGATTCTTTGTGCGACTCGCTCGCTTGCCGTCGAACATTGCGGAAACTAGTCAAGCGGACGTTGAAAATCGGCTAAAATAATGAAATTCCGAGTTTGCTACCGGCCCCGCGATTTCACTTATACTCTCAGCTACACTGAGAGAGAGAAAAATCGAAAAAATGATAAATATTTCTCTGATGGGTGCTAATAACGTATTTACTTCAATTTAAATTTTTCTTTCAATAAAATAAGCAATTGTTTTCATGGAAAGCTGAGATTTTTCTAACAGATTTAGAAAAATGTATATATTCTCGTATTTTTTTAAATATTTTATACATTAGTATAACTGAATACGCTATTAGTATCTCCTTGATTAATGTTTACCATTTCTTAGATGCTTTTTTCTCTCAGTGTACCATTTGCGGTAATACCAAATGACGGGATTACGTTATTACTAACGAAATAAATTTGTCACAGCAGTACGCAAACATCGTGTCACATGCACACGCGCATTTGCTTGATGTTAGCGGCATTCTTGGCACGTGATAATTCGAGCCTGTTTATGATCCAAACGTTCGTTTTATTATCGAAATAAAATAATGAAGAATAAATGTGTGTGCACATGTGTGTATGTGTGTGTATTTGTGCATGCGTCTCCTTCGTAATCAAATTTCCGAAAACAGAGCATGCACCAAGAAACAAACTGAGTTATCGCGAAAACATTCGGGCCTTTATCTTGAACTTGGCACGTGGTATTGATTAAAGGAACCAGATACACGCGAGAGAGGCGATTCAGCGTGAAAGCACTTTCTAGTCGTACCGTGTATATCGATTACGTAACGAATTCGCGAATAGAGAAGGTACCGTACGCTTTCAAGAGGGCGATTCAGCCGTTCATTTAATTCGAAGCTAATAATTCCTCCGCGAACATTTTATGGAAGCGTCCAATCGGAAAAGCTATTCCGAACTATGAATAATCGAGCAATTCCGGAGAATGAAATTTCAAGCGCGATGTTTTCATCCTCCTGCAATCTCCAAACCGACCCCTCGACAGTGTTTTTTTTTTTTCGATAACACTCCGTTTCGCTCGTTGAAAACACGGCACGACGATCGTAGACGTTCACGCGATCGCGCGTTCACGATGAGCAACTCGCGAAGGCGCCGATGTTACTTAATTGATAAGAACTTAATTTATCGGCGATACGCTTGTATGCATACAGCACTGCGCAAAACGCTGACTTATTGCGCATCGCAACTGAAAAACTCGCATACGTAACGGGCTCAAACTTCACAAACTTTTACAGACTCGAACCAAGAAACATATCTCAGATTAAATTAAAACATACAAATACGCGTATTCTGTCGCAGTTGTTGACTGTCTTGTCGGGGGTTAAGGTGAAACATTATAGTTAATATGTACAATGTGTGCGCACATGTATCTACGTAGATGTAAATAAAAATTGATCGCCTACATTGTTCTTTGACGTTCCACGAGACTCTCTGCCAAATTTAGGGCAAACATTTCCTAGACTAGAGTCGTTAAGGCTCCTTAATGACGCTGGAAGCGAGAGAACGTTATGCTCTAAATTCTTGGGAAATACGCTGAAATAAGAGGACGTGTCCGTAAAATGATCCCTTGGATCGATTGAGCACACTTACGAAATATATTCCGAATTATGAAAACTTTCCTTTTATCTCAACAATCAATAAATAACCGTGAAATTAACGTGACGTACAACCTTCCTTTTCACAATTTATTTTCATGCTTTTGTCATGCTAATTTCACGGTTATTTATTGTTTGTTTGGAAAGTTTTCGAAATACTTCGCGCTCAATCGAATACAAGTGTCATTTTGTGGACATAATCTTTTAGTCCGACGCAAGAATTTCGGGCATAATGTTTCCTCACTCTTCCGACTTCATTAATCCACGATGGCCGCGGCGAGGACACAGGAGCCTTAAACCGGAGGTCATGTTTGGCGGAGCGATCTTTGACTGTGATTTATTAGTCAGGACGCCTGATGCAATCTAAAGCGGCCTAAAACGCTCGGTGTGCCTTCCGGTCGCACATCGTCCGCTGCGGTTATCACGGACGCGTTATCTTCATCTCGAATCGTACTTCAGCGGCGTATGCCGCGGCGGATTATTCGCATACGTGCGAATACGGACTCAGCAAATCGCGCGATTCGACGTGTACACGTCGGATGTGTATCGAGGGCCGAGTGTTTGAGCGAAGAATGTGTAAATGATGCAATGCGCGCGCTCGACGCACGGCTGTGTTGGTGCGTGCGGTACATGTACTAGATTAAACTTCGCGAAAACACAGATAGAGCATGCGAAGCGCATGCTCGGATTATTATTGGTTAGAACGAGAAGAACGAGCTATGCGGGACTGACAAACAAATCGCCAGTTATATCATTCGACGTTCGCGAACGTATCGCGTCTGCCTGTCGCGAAGGACAGACGACGAATCGCCGAAATATGGAGACGCCAATTTTTCGCGCGAGCCATTGCCAATGACTGTAAGAATTTCAGAAACCAGAAGGGATATAGTGCTCAAAAGAATATAATTTTATCTTCAGCGAGATCCTCTTGTGTACATGATATCAAAAGAAGATTATTTCACAACCAAAAGGAAAATATTGCAAACACAATATTTTTTCAAGTTTCCAAATTTCGTTTTTTATCCACAAACCTTACTCTTAATAGAAATTTCCTCTAGCAAGAGGGCATTCTGCTTCGAATAAGAATATTCTTCTTGATTAGAAAGGGGAAAAGTTAGGATAATATCTATAGTAGATTTCTGATTAATAGTTTACTTTGATAAAAGAGAAATACTCTTTCGAAAAAAGCTTTCGTTTAGAATATGAGATTACAGGAAACACCACTTTGTAATTAGAGTTTTTTTTTTTGGGTATTAGAATATCTTCCTGTTGGTTTTAGAGGAATCTTCTTGAGGTCATGTATAAGAGGATTTAAAAATAAGAGAATACGGTGACATTTTCTTTTGGGTGAGGGAATGAGGGACGACTTAAAGAAACGTCGACTTAAAGATCAGAATAAGTAATTGGAATCACTTAAAAATCTCTGCTAATTCCAAGACACCGTGTATACGTAGATTGCTCTGCGAATCTAGCTTTCAAGTATTAATATCTAGTTGATATCGACCCCAAAGAATACTCAGTATCGGAAAAAAAGGATCGATACTCGTAAAATAGTCGAGTCGATAGAGATACCTTGATAGCGTCAAGGTATCGCAGGTATCCTTAAGCGAGCAAAGTCAAGTAAACAGCCTCGAAGTTGCACACGCTCGAGTGTACCGTGAAAGAAGTTGAAACGTAGCATTGCCAGAACGTA